GCGCTGCGAGAAGGGTCGCCCATTGTAGGGATTGGTGCCGGTCTTCGTGGCATCGCCGCGAGAGCTTACTGCCGTGCCCGGGCCGAGATCAAGCTTCCTCTTCATCTCTTCCTCCAAATTATCCTCCACTTCGAATGCGGATTGGGTGGACCTCGAGGGTGCTTAAGTGTTGTGGCGCGGGGAGGCAAGCGAAAGAACAAGGATTTGTCCCGCTGTGGCCTGTCCTGGTGTCTGCCTGCGGAAAAAGTGGAGAATTGATATTCCGTTTTCCCTTTCTTGTCGACATCAACTGCGGAGTTACAGCACAATCTTGTCCTGTGGGCGCTGTCAGTTGGCTGCTTGGGGATTGCACTCTTTGCCCTACATAGTCTGACAGTCTATAGTAGACTTTTAGTGCATAATATGAGAAATTGTGCACTAGCTCTGGTGTGCCTGCCCTACTGTGGTGTGGCCAACCTGAAGCCAAGGAGGTTAATGCTGATCCTCATGGCATCCTCCTCCACACCTGATCCTGGTGTGCCCTTCTTAACAGTGGAACAGTTGCATTGTTGAATGGTGCAATCAGAGATGGCCACCTGAGGATGGTGGTCAGCTGTCCAACCATGCTGCTCCTGTTGTGCCTTAGAGTAGAAGACAATCAGATATTGCTCCCAGACTGGATTTCCTGCTCCCAGACTGGATATGTCTTGGATGTTGTCCAAGGTGTGTTGAACATAATGAAGATTGCTGACTTAGAATTCAAATTGATTGAATGGACAGGCAAAGATGTGGAAATGGGCACATACACAGTGGTTTGAGAGATCTACAGGGGCCCACAGAGGCTGGAACTCCTTGGCAATGGCATCTGGTTCTTGCTTGTAGAAGTAGAGAAGGAGGTAGAAGCCATTGAATGGGCCAATCTTTGCCTGTCTTCCTCTTCCTCCCCATTCCTCCACCATCACCTCTGTTCTAAGGTCCAACAAGTGCATCAGTTTGTTGAAGTTGAAATTCATGAAGAGGAGGATAGTAGCATGGGTCTGCACAGGGCCAAGATTCCCAGGAGATTGGAGGATCTTTGTCTTTGCCAACCTCTCTTACCACAACTGCAGCCAGCTTCAGCATTGCATTATGTTGTGATGATTGCTTGTTTATCTGTTGTGAAGTCCACATGTGAGCAGAAAGGAAGAAGAGGTCCAAACAACCCAATAATGCACAGGTCCACCAGGTGCCTGCTACTGCACATTCATCTTCATTGGGGATCACTCGAACCGCACAATGGAAACACACCAAAATCATCAAGTTCTAGGAGTAAATTTTATAAGGCTATCTCATTTACTGAGCGGGGACAGCGGGGGTGGTCTTCTTGGAGGCGGCGTACTTGGCAGCCTTGCCGCCCCTCCTGGCCTTGGCGAGCGTCTTGCCGCTCTTCCTGGCCTTGTGGGTGATGGGCTTCTTGGCAACACCCTTGGACTTGGCGGCGTAGTAGAGCTTGGTGTAACGGGCGAGGGCAGCGCTGGTGAGGTCGGACCTGTACTTGCGGGAAGCACCCTGGATGGCGCGAGCCGTGCGGCGGAAATCCTTCTTGAGGGTGACCTTCTGCCACGAGCTGGCGGGCTTCCTCTTGAGGCTGGGCTTGCTCGACTTGACTGAGAGCACGACGCCCTTGCCGTCAGCGGAGGCCTGAATGTCGATGGCCTGCCTCTGGGCGAGGCCAGAGAAGCGGCGGGCGTGAAGGTTGCGCAGGTTGCCGGCCTCCTTCGAGAACGCGCACCTGTCCCTCCTGACGAGGAAGGCGTTGTTGTTCTTCACCAAGTGCCAGATGAGATCGGTAGAGGCCATTTCTGTTGTATCAAATGGAAATGGTGAGCACCTCGATCGAGAAAAAGGAACAAACATTATGATCTCTGCAGCATCGCCACGGCAGCAGCATGCGGGGATGGACCCACAGGCGTGACGAAGCCACAATTAGAGGCGAAATCAATCGAGGGGGCGCATGCGTACCACCAGAGAGAGGGGACGAAGCGGCGATGGAAGAGAAGAAGGGAAAAAGAAGGACTGACTTTCGAAAAATAGGAATAAATCCTGGTACGCGTCCTTTTCCGTCAATCCACACAATAACCCGGAAAATCGCCTCTTTTCTTTTACCTTTCCTCTCTGCTTTGTTGGCTATCCCGATTCGCAGCAACGATCACACCATCCCATTGACACCAACATGAGCACGGCCACGAACGAAGATCAGGAGGTTCCCAGGGACGAGGAGGTGGAAGATGAAGAGGTGAAGGAGGAGGCTGCCAGCAGCCCCAAGAAGGCTCGTATCGACGAATCGGGCGCGTCATCCACTGCCACCCTCACTGAAGCCGAGCGCAGGAAGAGGAGGAACGAGCGATTTGGCGTCAGCGGTGGCGGCGCTGGTGCGGTTGGCGGCCTTGCCGATTCGGATGACAAGAAGAGGAAGAGGGCGGAACGATTCGGCGTGGCCTCCCCTCTGGTCGAAGAGGACAAGAAAAAGAAGAGGGGCGAAAGGTTTGGCATCGCGGATGAAGCTGAGGTCAAGCAGAAGAGGAAGCAAAGGTTCGGCACCACCAAGGAGACCGAGAAGAAGGAACTGAGGGCGCAGCGGTTTGGCACAACAAAGGACGATGACAAGAAGAAACAGCGGGCGGAGAGGTTCGCTGGCGCCACCACCGCATCGTCGTCATCGAGCGCCGGACCCGGCATCGCTGCCAAGGTCAACGTCACGACCGCCCAGCGCCTGGGCATTCCCATCAAGTCGAACGAGTAAATCCCCTCGCCTCAACTTCTTACCAATCTTTGTGCCCAACAGAATGCATCAAGCCTGCCATAAATCAATCACGCACGACCCTACCGCCTCCTTTCGCTATCCTTTTTTTTTGCCTTTGTGCGTGCGGTGGTGCGGTGGTGCGTGTTCAGCGACTGGCAAGTGCACAGCAAGCGGTGTGCGTGTTCAGCGACTGACAAGTGCACACGACTTCAGTACATGGGTCCGAGGTCATCGCCGCCATCGAGGTCCTCAAAGTCGTCTTCCTCGCCTTCTTCGAGCCCCTCGAGTTCTTCGCCAACTCCATCCGCCATCGAGGAGGACCTCAGGTTGTCGATGAGGGAGTGGATCTGCAGGATGATGGGTCCGATCTCTGGATCGTTGAGGTACTCGTTGGCCGTGTGCGGGTTCTGCATGACCCGCTCGAGCGCTCGCACCACACGCTCCGACTGGAGGCCGGAGCGGATGTCGGGGTTGCCCAAGATTGCTTGCAGCAGCGCGTTCGACGCCTCGTCGCCCTCCACCTCGTCGCCGTCAAAGTCATCTTCGTCGTCTTCTTCGCCATCGTCTTCCTCGCCACCCGACTGCTCATCCTAACAACGTGCGAGAGAACATCAATCGAATGAGTGTGCGGGTTCGTGTCGCCAGACACTGCGAGTAGAGAGCACGAACCTGGCGATCACTGAGCAGCCAAGCCAGAGCAGCGTCCTGGTTGTTGCGTGAGTACCGCAGAGCCCGAGTCACGTCCTCCTCGCTAAAGCCCATCTCGCCCAGTTGTCGCGCGGCCTGCACACGCGAGGTTCAGCAGCAGCAGCGGATCAACCGCTGTTACACAGCAGGCCACGTTGTGTGGCGAGAGAGTCGAGCACCTCATCGTCCGGCACGAAGTTGCGTTCGTTCTCGAGGATGTGCTGCTGCTCCTGTTCGGTGATCGGGGCGTCGATGTCCTCGTCCTCTCCGTGCATGAGCAGCCATTCCATCGCCGCTTGCGTGTTCATCCCATTCAACAGCAGAGCCTACATCGTGCACGCATCAAGTAAGTCAACATCGATGCCTTGTCGGGAAGCGCAGAGCGGCAGTGGCACCTTTCTAGCACGACCTGCCGTGAAGCCCATCTCGACCAACCCACGCAGGGCAAGCTCGGGCACCTTGGGCAGCCGTCGTCTTCGCCTCGAGGCCTGTTGCCCACCCGCACTTGGCGACGCTCCGTCGTCCACAGCAGGCGAACCGCCGGCCTCGGATGTGGTCGTGGTGGTGTTTTCCTCGCCATCGGCCCTGGTGAGCGATTGCGCTCGCTTCCTGATTGAGTCCCGCTTGACCGCTCTGCTCGACGTCCTCGCCTTCTTCTTCTTTTGACCGTCCCCGGCGGCAGTCTTGCGCTGGGTGGCCGCGAGGATGGTCCTCGCTGTGGGCACCGCGTCGAGGTGATCGACTGAGGCACCTCGCGGCCTAGGCCGCGCCGCCAGAACCACCTGGTTCAACATGAGTGTCAGCACTACCCTGCACATCAACCACGTGACGTTGGGCAACTGACTCTAGATGGCACGTACCAAGATGTCTGTTGGGTCGACGTGAGGGCAACGACGGTTCATGTAGATGCAGGAAGGAAAGATCAGAAGCTAGTAACAGGAGTCGAAGGGAGAAGGTAGCAAGGGCCGCACCTCCATCCTTGAGCCCCGTCGCTTTGAGCGTGTCGGCGTCGAGCAGGCGGCCGTCGAACACGAGTTTTTGCACGTCGGGGGCGATGCCAGGCACTAGCTTGTGCACCATCTCGCGAAATCGATCGAAGTGAATTTGCGGGTCAGCTTCGACCGTGTGCAGTCGTCCATTTGTTTCCTTTACTCGCAATCTCATCCTGCTGTCTGTGCGAAGATTGATGAAGGATTACGTTCCCGCCTTTTTAAAATGATTTTCAGGGAAGATTTCGCTTTTGTTTTCTTTTTCGCTACCAATTCTCGCGCAATCGCTGTGAAGACCAAATCTCCATCTCAAGAGAGCAGCGAGGGTGAAGTGATGAGCGACTTGAGCGCGGACCAAAAGCCAAGGTCTTAATCTCCACTGTCTTTTAATTTGCAATTTTTGTTCCCTTCTCACCTCTGACTTTCCACATCTTTGCTTCTAAATGCGGCTTCTTTTGATGCCTTGCAATCGCACCACCAATTGGCTCTTTATCTTCTTCCCTTGCCGCACCTCCGCCCCCCAAACTCTCTCTTGATGCTGTGGCCGGGTTCGCACCTTTTGCATTCGAACAACAGGAAGAGGAAGTGGGACGTGGCGGAGCCCTCTCCCGCTGGTGGCGAGCAGGCAGCGCCTGCCGCTCCCCCGTCCCTCCCACCCTATGCACCAGTTGGTGCACCTGCCGTTGGCGCCGGCGCCGGCGCTGGCGCTGGCGGTGATGCTCCCTCCTACCCTCCCATGGGTGGTGGCGTGTACGGCGCCCCTCCACCCGGCGGACTCATCGATCCGACCAACCCGGCTTCCATCGCCGCTTTCGCCGCCAGCCGGCTCAACGCCATGCTCGCCGCCAAGGGAGCTGCGCCCACCACGGCAGCGGTACCCAAGCCTCCGATCTCATCACCACCACCGAGCCACCACCAGGCCTGACGCTCACTCATCATCTTTTTCCTTCCATGTCTGGTGACGTCGCGGTCTCAGGCTGCCGCCGCCGCCGCGCCTCTGCCGCCACCGCCAGTCAAGGAGGAGGGCGTGATTGCAGAAGTCGAGATCAACAACTGTCCGCCTGCCGTGCGCTACCTTCTGACCAAGGGTGTCACCCACCAGGAGGTATCGGACACACACACACACGCACCCACACACCCACACACCACACACACCACACCAACACAACACCACACTCACGCACCTCGACACAATGTTGTGTGCTGCGCGCAGATTCAACAGCAGACGGGGGCCACGGTGATATCCCGTGGCCGGTTCAGGCCGCCGCACGAGGCCGACCTGCCGGTGACCTCCCCCGCCGACCGGCCGCTCTACCTCCACGTCTCGGCCGCCACCCAGCAGGAAGTGGACAACGCCGTCAGCAAGATCAACACCCTCATGAAGGGGGAGATATCGCCCTTTCGGGTACGCAACGTTTGGTGCACTCCACCCAACGGCCGACTAACCACCACCATCGGCGTGTGTGCGGTGTGCGGTGTGCGGTGTTGACGTTGTCGTGAACCCAATCACACAGTCGTCGCGGGAGGAGCAGACCGCCAAGGTGTTCGTGGGCATCGATCTGGCGGAGGCCCGACGAATGAACTTTAACTACGTGGGCAAGATAATTGGGCCGAAGGTGCGTGGGCCACTTGGTGTGTGTCGTGTGTGGTGTGTGTGTGGTGTTGATGGTGTTGTTGTCGTTCGCTGCTGCCTGCTTCTCGCATACAAGGGAGCCTATGTGAAGCACATCGAAGCGCAGTCGCGGGCTCGGGTGCAGCTGAAGGGGCGGCGATCCGATAATCCCGCCGAGCAGCCCGAAGACGAAGAGGAGATGCACCTCCTCATCATCGCCAGCAACAAGCAGGTGCGTATGCAATCTGAGACACTCTCACGGTCACATCACATTGGTGGTCCATCCACTCATCACACCACAATATGTGTCGGGTGTGTGTGACCAGGCGCTGGAGTCGGCCAAGAAATTGTCGGAGGACCTGCTCGACACGGTGCGAGAAGATTTTGAGGAGCACAAGAAGAACTTTGCCGCTCGCGCCAGCGGTCCACCGATGGGCGGCTACGGCGGTGGCTACCCTCCCCGCGTGGCTACCCACCCATGGGCGCACCTGGGTACCTCCTCTCCTCTCCTCTCGCCCCCTCCGCTTTCGCTCCTCATAATCTATCGACTCACGATGGAATGCATGGCATTTGCAGAATGCCTCCGTATGGTGCGCCGCCGCCTACGGCGGAGCCTATGGCGGCTACGGCGGCTACGGCGCGCCGACGCCCTACGGCGCCTACCCGCCCGGCGTCGTCCCTGGAATGCCGCCCGGCGTGCCGCCGTACGGCCAGCCCCCCGGCGCCTACCCGCCGGGCGCCTCCGCCCCGTACGGCCAGGCCCCGTCGCCCTACGCACCCGCTGGCGCGCCGCCGGGCGCCGAATCCTACGCCGCCTACGGTCAGCCCTACGGCTACGGCTACGGCATGTACGCGGGCTACCCGCCCGGTGCGGCGCCACCACAGCCGCCCGCGCCCACGGGTCCGCCCGGCGCCGCGACGGAGGGAGGCGCCGCGGCGACGGCGGAGGGCGCCGGTCAGTCGTCGGAGGATTCCGGCCCGCCCGGCGCCGCCGCCGACGGCAGCACGTCGCCGCAGGCCTCGCGCCGTTTCCAGGAGTACCCCGTCGCCAAGAAACCGCGCGCCGATGAAGATGTACATGTGCGTGTGTGTGTGTGTGCGTGCATGTGTTTACGATGTCGTGTGTGCGTGTTAACTTGTAGTCGCGCTGATGCAGGACGGCGAGCTCGGCCCCAAGAGGCCCACGGCTGAAGAGTACTCCACTTCGCGCCACGCCCTACCTGAACCCGCTCCCGGTACCCCCATTCGCCACGCGAGCTCCGCTACATACAAACCACCACCAACTCACTCACGCCCGGTCCTTCTCCTCCTTCTGCTTTTCCAACTCAGAACCGTACGTCGCCAAATATGAGCCCTACGCGCCGGCGGCCGATTCTCGCCGACCATCCGGTACGCGCCCTTCTCCTTCTCCCCGTCCGTTCCTTGCCCGAACACACACAGCTTCGGCTCACACGCGCGCACCACACAACACAGGACGGGCGGACTACGGCGATGGAGCGGCCGCTTCGGCGTCGTCGTACTCCTCGTACTCCTCGTCTTCTGCTACGCAAACCTCGGCCGCTGCTGCCACGACCAGCAACGGCCAAGCGCCACCAGCGCCCGCTGCCGCTGCCGCTGCGGCCAAGCCCGCTCTTCCCTTCTGGGCCGCCAGCCCTTACTCTCGTACGTCTTCTTCTCCTCATCCCACCTAGCAGCCACCAATTGCCGCTTGTGCTGATTCAACCGGACCCCGCAGAGAGCCCGCTCGCGGCTGTGTCGCAGCAGCCACAGGGAGGCGACACCTCGGCGGCGTCGTCATCGTCGTCAGCGCCATCGTCGGCAGACGCCAGCTACAACGAACTCATGCGCGAGCTGGGCATGGGACGGCACTCGTAGTAGTGGACCACGATCACCGACCGCAACACGCCAGGACCTCTCTACGCTTTCTCTATTAGACTCTCTACCAGTCGCCGCCAAGGCCCTTGCTGCAGCCCTGAGAGGGGGAGGAGAGAATGGATTGCATTGTCGTGGGATATTCTGTCGGAGGAGCTTGGGCAGGGCGATCAGGTTGCGCTGGTGTTGGTCTGGTAGAGGCCGGCGAACAGGGTGTGTTTTATGACTTTGCGGGAGTGTTCCGCGGGAGGAGTGAGTTCAATGCAGAGGAGGCGAAGCCCCAGGACCGCCACTTATTGAAGCAAAGTGTGGGTGTTCACCCAAGCTGTCATTGTGGTTGCCATCTTCATTTGTGTGCAAGCAATCAATCATGGTGCCATGTTGTCCTCTGAAGAAGAGCCTTTGCTTGTAAGCAAGTTGAGTGTCTCCATGGTGGAAGCCATGCAAGCTAGTCAGCCCACCCCAAGCCTTGTGGTGGTCACCCCGCCCCAATGACGCCCCCCTGAACAGCCCAACCCAGAAGGCCTCCACCACCCAACCTCAACCAGCGACTACCCCAGCAACCCCACTGGCTGCACAGGAAGCCCCACCCCAACACCTGGTGAGTTGGAATGAGACAGTCTTCCTACCCAAGTCCATGGACCGACATCAGCAGTTGACTGCATCGTTTACACGTGGGCTCACTGTACGTGCTTGGTCATGTGAAGGTGGGATGGGCTTGTGGCCACGTCATGGTGCATGATTACATGGTAACTACCTCTCTGCTTCCTCTCCCCGTCTCTGGCACTACACAATCGACGATTATGGGGTTGGCTTGCTGTCTCTACGAACTAGAAGCCCTTGTCGCGCAGCAGATTGACAAGCCGTCGGTACAGCTCGCGGGCATCGTATCTGCACCGGTCGCCAACAACGCAGACGATCAAAACGAAGGTCTAGTGTCAGTGCGAGCACCTGCAG